GAAATACAGTGAATTACTTAACTTATAAAATGTAACCCTAAATTCCGAAATTCGTTTTCGATTCGAACAAATTGCTTAAGTAATATCACCAGATTGATTATCCTGCAGCCTAATCTCAATATCTTTTAGTCACGGCAGGATATTGGCTTTTGAGCAGCCTTCTTTCTGACCGCCTGCAAAAATGATACTTTGTAGCGAAGTGCTACTTAAGGAGTTTGAACTTTCTCATTGATTTTCAACGCTCTTATTAATTCCAGTATATTTTATAGAGATCGTGCGCAAAGGTATTCTTTCTTGTACTCGTTTGGTAGCATATTACGTCTGTTTCAAAGTTTATACGTGAAAACAGTGAACCTCTCCGTTAAAAAACCTTCTAAATGGGCGAATAATTTTGAACTCTAGCGGTCGTGACGTTTGCATTAGTGGTTTTCATACTACACGCTGTATCCATTCCGTTTAATGAAAGTTGCACATTACGTCATAGCAATTTGCAGTGTATCTGGGCCCTGTTGTATATTTCATAGGCAATCTTACTAAAAAGACGAATACGATGTATTATAAATGAAAATTTAATGGTCTTAAAAATCTTATCATAAATAACTTTTTTTCAAAACCGAAAGGAACCCTTCAAATATAACGTTTGTAGGAGGCGTAATTTTATACCAAAAGAGCACAACCAATAATATTTTTGTACATTTTTAAAAGGTATATTTGAATTTATAAGTTCATTTAAAATTAATGGGACAAACGCATACTGCTTAAGTATTCATTTGTCACAGGGTATTCTTTTTGCAGGCATTCGAAAAGACACTTGTTCAAAAGCCGGCATCATGATGTGACTGAAATACCTTGGCAGTAGGCTTCACGATAATTAAGATTACAACTCAATTTAAGTAGGCTTTTCAAAACCAAGGCAACTTTCAGAATTTTGGGATATTTAATAAGATGGACAATCTGCTGTAGCCTCTGCAACCGCTAGTTTGGAAACAAGTGCGGTGACTCCCCACCGTGGTACTTTTGAATCTCACCGTAACCAAACATCATAGTCGATAAGAAAAGGAGAAGAGTGATCGAGCACCGGAATAGTTTGTTTATGATTATGAGCTTTCGAACCCGTACAGGAGTCCATCTATAGCGAGAATAGCAACGATAGAAAACAGACCTCATAAACCAAATGCCCCAATGCTTGCAATTGTTGCCTTAAGAAGCACTCATAACTATAATATGACAGAGTGGATGTATTAAAAACTAAATTTCCGCTATGACAATTTGAATACGCGGGTTCAATCAGTCTTCGAATTCCTTGTAGACATTTGAGGTCAGAGGATTCAGTTGGATGAAATCATTGTGCCTTTAAATGTAACATGATTATTCACATCCAGGCAACCAAATTTGACGTATGATGATGCTCGGAGTTCCCATAAGATTGAACACCTTATAAAGCTTTCGAATTTCGCCAAAACATACTTCAAATCTGCTGGGAAAACCTATGAGCACACTAAGAAAACCCCCATAGGTTCCCCGATCTTCGGTTAAGTGACAGAACTGATCCTAGAGAAGGTAGAGGAAACTGCCTTAATTCCACATGAGCCTGTCATTTGACGCCGTTACGTTGACGATAGGTTTTTT